TTGTTTTTTTGGAGAGGTTTTCGCTATAGGGTGCGTGTGCTTGCCAGACAGACAGAGAGAGACATAGAGATTGAAAGCGAGAAAACGCTGCAATCTCTTCTCCTCCATTCTCCTCTCGGGATCTTGGGCACACACGCATACGCGCCTGGCGTGAGTTTTAAGCCACCGGGTCCGGGACGCGAACCGCGGTCAACTACGTGGGTGTCCAGTGACATAGCCATTACGCTAACCACTGGTTCCCAAAATGATTGTTTATATAACTGGATTGAAACGTACCGTCTTTGGGTCAGCAGGTGGTGTGGTGGTTCAAGAGGTGAACTCCCACATGGTCAACCACCATCTTGGACCTGGCAGTTTGAAAATCATGCTGGATGCGTGTGCGAGTGCGTGTGTGTGTGTACCCCAAATTCCAAGAGGAGAATGGATTGTGGTGTGGCCATCCCTCCTGGTGGCTTATTTCTAACTTTCCTTCTCACTGCCTCTCTCTGTTTCTCTCTGGCAAGGGCACATGCCATGTGGCAAAAACTTTATAAAACAAACAAAACTAAAAAACTTACCATCTTCACAATTGTTTTCTATTCATTGTGTTTATTCATTCTCTCATTTTTTGTCTGACTTCTCTGAGTTTAACTGATCATTTTGTACACTTCCATTTTACCTCCTCTCTCTGTGTAACATTTTCCTTTTTTTTTTGGAGAGGTTTTCACTATAGGGCACATGTGCTTGCCAGAAAGACAGAGAGAGAGAGAGATTGAAAGCGAAGCGAGAAATCACCCCCCAGGGGGGATGGCCACGCTGCAATCCCTTCACCTCCATTCTCCTCTTGGGATCTTGGGCACGCACGCACACACACGCCCAGCGTGAGTTTAAGCCGCCAGGTCCAGGACTTGAACCACGGTCGACTACGTGGGAGTCCAGCAACATAGCCATTACGCTAACTGCTGGTCCCCTTCCCTTCCTTTTCAAAACAGCATTTTTGGTGGTTGTCCAAGGGCTTACATCTTTAAAAATAATCTAAGTCTACCTTCAAATGAAATGCAGTTCTGGTGTATAAGAGTGTACTTCCAATTCATCCCTTCTGTCCCTTTTGACATTGCTATTTTACATATTTGTTGTAATCACCTTATATGTTATTATTGTTATTGTAAACAGTTGTCTTTGATATCAATTAAGAAAAAAATAAATTATTTTATCTTCATTTATTCCTTTTCGAAGGCTTTTCTTTGTGTAAATCCAAGTTTCTGATCTACATCATTTGTATTTCTTTCTGAAGAATTTCTTTAACAACTTTTTGCGGAGCAGTTCTACTGGCAATGAGATTCCTCACTTTTGTCTGAGAAAATCTTTATGTATTTATTTACCTAATTATTTATTTTTGAAGGAAAATATTGCCATTATATGTGTTGATGAATCTGGGTATGGAAATGTGAGAAATCTAGGTTGGCAATTTCTTTCTTTCAGCATTCCAAATATTTCTATTCCAAATAATTCACTATTCTTGCTTGTGTAGTTTCTGAAGACAAATGTACTATAATTCATATTTTTATTTTTAAATTTTTTTGCTATAGCATGTATGTGCTAGCTAGAGAGAGAGAGAGAGAGAGAGAGAGAGAGAGAGAGTTAAAACAAGAATTCAACACCGTAAGGGATTGCTATGCTGCAATCTCTTGTCTTACAGCCTCCTCTTGGGATTTTGGGCGTACGCACATGCACTCAGCATGATTTTCAAGCAGCTGAGCATAGGACTCGAACTATGCGATCAGCCATGTGGGAACCAGCACCTTAATAACCACACCACCTTCTGGCCCCTATAATTAATATTTTTCTTCTTCTTCTTATTTTCTTTCTTCAAGGTTTTATCTTTGATTTAATGCAGTTTCATGATGTCCCTGGTTGTAGGATTAGATTTTAATTCTTTGATATTTGGTGTTCTCTGAGCTTTTTATAGCTGTGGTTTGGTCTCCATTAATAATTTTAGGAAGTTTATGGCCATGATTACTTCAACTATTTCTTCTGTCTTGTTCTATTTTTCTCTAGTGTTCCTATTACACATGTGACACCTTCTGATATTATCTCAGTTTATTGTTGTGTCTTTCATTTCCAGCATTTCATTTTGAGTCTTAGTTTCCCCATCTCTATTGAAATGACCTATCTGGTCTTGCATGTTTGTACTTTTCTTATTTTATCCCTTTCCATGTTTAACTATAGCTACTTTAAATTGCCTGTTAATACCAACATTTCTCTCATACCTCAGTCTGGCTAAGACGATTGCTTTAATTCTTCAGATCTGCTTTTTTCCTTTGCCTTTTGGTATATTTTATACCTTGTTAAAAACACTAGGTATGTTCTATTAGTTACAGAGACACACAGGTCTGTAGTATGGAGGTTTATGTCCATCTTGCTAGGTGTTGAGCTAGAATCTTTCTTGAAACCTCAGGTACCAGATTTTGAATTCGTCCTGTCCTTGTTTCTGACTTTGGGACTTACATATTTCTCCTTAGAAAAAGTATGTATTCTGCAGCTTTTCTTTCTTTATTTTTTTTTTCTTTCTTGTGGTTGTAATCCACTGCTATTACACTGGAGACTCCCATAATGTAGGAAATGGAGAGCATTCTAAAGTCTTCCAACTCTTGGTCTTTTAGTGGGTTTATGCCTTGGGAGTATGACCTTCACGTTTTTCTATTCCTCATTCTGTTCCTCCTTCAGGGGTATGTCTTTTTTTTCCCACAGTACCCTACTGTTTCTGGCTATGGCATTTCCAGTCTACTTTCTTGATGCCCTCTCTCCTGTTGACTATTTTTATGCCCTTAAGTGAGAGAGGTAAGTGGGTTAGAGTTGAGCAGAATTCCCTCCTCTCAGCTGGGATACTACCCTCTAGAGAGAAGTCCTTCCTACACAGGAGCAGTTCTTCATTATGGAGAAAGACCTGGAAGAGTTATGCAATAGCTGTTCTATTCATCTTCCAGTCAGAACCATGAGGGATTTTTTTTTTTTTTTTGGATCCTCAGAAACTTTCTGTGAAGACCTGTTGGTATTTCTAGAGAGTGTATGTCCTCTCTTTCTCCATGGCAGTGGCTTCTGGGTTTCCCCTTCTCGAATTAGTTCATATTCAGCCTCTAGCAATTCGTTAAAATTATTTGGCTCTCATTTTCTATGCAAAAATGCATCATGACTTTCCCAACAACCTAATACTTGTAATCCTATCAGTTTGTGGCATCCAGGAGCTTCTTCTCCAGGCAAGCAAGTATCAAGTGCTATATATTAACTTGATATGCCTCGCTTTCCAGAATTGGGGTAACTATTTATGTTGTGGTCTCAGTTCTGATAGGTCCAAAAGTAACTGATTTTCAGTTTGTCCAGTTTTTCTTTCTGTAAAGATGGGAATGGTAGTTTCTAAGTTCTTTACATATCCAGAGCTGTACATGATAATTTTTCCCTTTATTCTTGCTAGAACACCTATGTATACACATATGTGTAAGACTGAGACAGAAGGAGAGGAACACCCTCCACAAGGTCTGTCATGGCATGGCCCCCTTTCTCCAGGTCTCCAGTCTGTTAGACCTGGCACTCACTTCTGTGTCCAGGTGTTTCATGCCCACTGGGCTGGGGATTTGAACCACAGTCACCATATGGGTTCTGATCTCTCTTGAACAGCACCTTACTGCTGTACCATGAAGTCAGCCCTGATTTTTTTCTTGACTAAGATTTCCTACTAGTGGGGACACAGTTTAACCATAAGGATTGTCCTCTTGAGCTTGAATTTGTGTCATTGAAACAAGGACTCCAGGGTAATCTATACTCATACACAAGTAAATACTTTGGGAGATATTTTAACAGGTTTTTTGAGGAATTAATGGTTCATGCTGATAAAGATAGGACTTGAGAGTAATAGACTAATAGAGGTATTGGAAAATTAGATGGAATAGCTTGATTGAAATGAAGGGACCCACAATAATTAGTAGGAAGTATGACTAGACATATCAGGTTGTGTCTAAACTATAATAATATTTGGACTGAAATATGCTTTATTCTGTACTTAACACAGAGTCACTAAAAGATGTTGACAAGGATAATAGCAAATGTGAACAATCAGCCTAGCAAAAGTATTGATTAAACTGATCTCTACACAGAGATTAAAAAAAGAAACTAGAGGAAGCGATAATGTTCTCCTAATGACAAAATCAGAAATTTGAGAGGCAAAATCCAGGAGTTGAGCTTGCAACATAAAGTTCAAATTGCAACTAGAACTCACCATAGAGTACTAAGGCTGGAGATTCGCTTTGAGAGTCATCTGCATGGAGATTACAGCTGAAACTCTGAGTACAGAAAAGAAGCTTGAAGAACAGAGAGTTGTAATCTTTAGGGATATGTACATTTAAGAGGGTTGGAAAATGTAAAGTCATCAGTGGGGAAGCCAGAAAGAAGAGAGTAAAGGCAAGACAAGCTATGGAGGAAATTAAGATAGAAGAAGGTTCTTTTTTTTTGCCCCCATCCTATGTCTGTCCTATTGGGCAGACTGAACTGTGCAAATCCAACGAGTCCTGACAGATGAAAACAGTTTGCTCTAGTCCTTGTCTGAATGATTTTTGCTTTCTGTCAGAGTTTTACATGAATTTTTGTATGGTGGAAATAGAAGTAACTATTCCACAGGGAATAGTTAGTATTTATTAGGTAAGCGTCTACATATATGAGAAAATGATCCCTTCTCAGAAGCAAGTAAGGTAAAGTAACCTGTGTTACCTGCAAGTTGTGATGACAGCCAATACTGTGCACAAAACGACCATTACAGAGTTAACTGCAAATGGTTTACTCTGGGTTCTCCAAATCAACATAACCTCAATATATAAATTCATTTGGCTATTTTATGCATATGCCTGTAAAGTACAATCAGATGCTCTCCATCTGGCATTCAGTGACCTCTCACTTCTCATGGTCAATATTTAAAGGCAATAAAGGGACTGCTTAGTCCAATTTCTTCTACAGCAACAAGGCAGTTTTCATCAAGTTTGTGAAATGTAATTTTATTAATTAATAGAAGAGTATGTCTTACCAGACACATTGTCCCCAAATAAATAAAATTCCAGCATCATTAAAAGCACACAAATACACAGTATTACAGGGTACAATACAAAGTCAATTTTGATGTTATTACTTGCATTTACTAAAAATCTGAGAAAGATTACAATCAATCCCTAAATAATTATCTTGCATAAAGAGAAAAGTAGAACACAATTACTTCACAGGTTTTGGAATGATAGATTGAGAAGGCTTTGCTTTTAAAAGATTAGATACCTCACAAATCAAATCACACCCTCTGCAACATTACAACATGAAATTGTACTTAATCAAAAATAAAAGCAAAGTGGTTACAGAATACTGTATCTGTCTTTCCCCAAATTATACTAATCTCTATTTTTGGCATGAATTATTAACCTTTTCCATTAGTAGGAAAATGTGCTCGGCAAACTCTCGGAGGGCGCCACGGCCACCATTGCATTTGCAAATATATCCAACAGCTTTCTGGGCAGTGGAACAGGCATCTGCAGGGACACCACTCAGGCCTACCCTCTTCAAGCATTCTTCATCGGACACTTCATTTCCTATCGAGTAAAATAAATACTGATTGGACATTTAAAAGAAACAAAGAGTACTCCGGTAAAATAATGGAAATATTAACCAATAAGTAGCTCTGGTAACTTCTGCAAGACCTAAGGCACTGCATATTAAGGATACTAAAGATTAGATGAAGAAAAATATTTTAAAGTATAAATGAGGGGCTATCTCTATAATGTCACCGTTAAATATTGAGCATAAGGGGACAGAGCCTACATGGCTGATTATGCCCTGCTGGCTTGAAAACATTACCAAATGTGTATGTATATGTATTCTCAAATCCTGGTGAGATGCAGAAATGGAAGAAAAAGGACTGGCATAACCACACTTATGGTGGGGGGCGGGGGCTTGCTCTTTCTCTCTAGCTAGCACATGTGCCCTCTGGCATTAAAAAAATGGTATAATATAAGTCTAGGGCTTTCTGTAAGCACTTAAAAAATTGCTACACTTGATCCTATTATCAAACAAATTTCTAAAAAAGACTATTTCAATTTAAATACTTTGGTCAATTCCCTATAAAACATGCCAATCTTGGGACAACTCTTTCTTCTTTACCTATTTCTAAAAGAAAAAAAAAAGAAAAGAAAAAAGAAATCTATTTTACTATGGCTGAGTAAAAAAATACAAACCAAGATATGCCACTTCTTTCCAGCACAGGCCCATTTCTTTTCTCCATTCATCTACAACTGCTAGCTTGTCTGACACGCTGACTTCCATTTTGCAATCCAGTTTTAAGGAAGAAAGCGTCTGCTTTGAACAAGCCCTTTCAGAGATTAGCCTCACCTTTAAAAAAATGGGGGGAGAGGCAGGCACAAGAATTAGAAAGTGAAGGAAACAGAAATCTTTCATAATAAAATAAAACTCTGTAAATGACATAAGTCACAAATGAGTAGTTCTTTAACCATCTGAAGGACAAATAAAATCAACTGTCATTCTAAACTGATGATGCTGTAAATAAAATACTTGTTTTATTTCTAATAGCCCAAACACAGTATCTGTGTCTAAATGCAAGGCACAGTATCTCTTGAAATGGAAAGGATTCTATCTACAGGTAAAAAAATATAACATACTATCTGATACTAATTAAGATTCTTCTACAAATCAATTTATCCAAAGGAAAGTCTATAATCTTTCTCTTATGCTGCTTAGCAACACATATTTAAAATTTCTGATGAATTATAATTATCTTAGGCTTTATTTTTAAAAATACACTTCAACATTAAGTTATTTTAAATAAAAAATTCATGCATAAGAATGAGCAACAAGACACTGGCACTGAATAGAAAGTGGACGAATATGGAAGATTTAGTGCTAAGTGAAGCAAGTCAGAGTCTGAGAGAGAGAGGCACTTGCCCGCATGCTCCCACTTAATGTATACTGAATGTCTGCAATCTACGGCAGAAACTGAAAGACTGGAAGGTATAAAAGCACGGAGAGCAACTGAGGATACTGGAGACAGTGTGGGAGGACGATGGGACATGAGAGAAAGCAAGAGGGAGGGAATCACGGAGAAAAAGAAAGAAGCAAAACATTCAAGGGACACAAAAATGAAAAATTATCCGTTGATGATAATGTGTATGGTAATATATTTGACTGGACTGATAGACAGTGTGTTCATGCTTGGAGTTATTTTGTTATGTCCTAATGATATATAGTGATTGAATGTGAAGGAAACATAGTAATAATAAAAGATATCTTTTGGGGGGGGGTGAAGAAGGAGCTACATTTTAAAAATCCACAGGATATATTTGCCTTTTTCTAAATGCCAATACTTACTATTAAGGAAACCTTTCCTGCTGCAAGAACCTATGAAAAATACTGGATGACTACTATTTAAAAACAACACAGTCATACTTACAAATAAAAAAAATTCCGATTGACAAAATCTTAGTTTTATCCATCTAAAAGTAAATAGCATGATAATTTTCTAGGCAAGGAAGACTAAATTTCATGTATTTTAATAGTTAATACTAAAAATTTAAATTTCTTAATTTCTTGCATGTTCTTTGACCCTAAACCAAAATCTTATAAAATACTGCAAAGGGCACATACCTCAATCCCACTTTTCTTTAATAAACTTATCCCAATAGCATCCTTTACATCATATGATATTATTTCTTTTTGATCTCCTGACACATATATGTGGCCATTGGTGAGACATCCATCAATATTGCAAATTAAAAGCTTTATCTCCTTAAGCTTCTCTTTGCCAAAATAGCCGTATCTAAAAGAAACCAAAATAGACCTTTGAGTACAAGGGCGATACTCATCACTTTTTCTTATCTGCTAACACCAGTGAGCTAAGTAACTTATTCTCCATTTCATTATACAAACCTCACTCTTCAAATTCACTTTATATATACACTTCAACTTACAGTTCAAGAGCTATTAACAGTGTGGTCTATCGTTAAGGGTATGTGTTTCTCAGTTTATTGAATAAGCCACCTAGAGACATTTTACATATGCATCTTCCCCAAATGACTGAACTAATCACAAAGATCCTAAGATGTGTGGGTATCAGAAATCAGTGTCTAGAAGTACAATTAAACATATCTAATGAAAATCATACAGTTCTAGTGCAGAAGTGATATTATATATTTTTTTACCTTAGCACTCTTTGCTCTGCAATAGGCCAATCAATATCCACATCTATATCCACACTATGCTCAGCTCGCATTTCATAGTATGCCATTTTTCCACCCTAAAGACAGAACAAACATTTATTTGAGTACATCAGAAACTTTATAGTACAGAACAATGAGGTCATCTCTATAGTACTGAGAAAAATCAGTAAAATCAGTGACATAACATTTATTGTTATTTTCTTAAACAGGGAAAGTTCACACAAAACAAATAGCCTTGGCCAGTATGTGGTACGGTGATAAAAGTGCTGGACTCTGACACGGCTAACCATGGCTGGAGTCACAGACCTAGTGGCTTGAAAATCACACCAGGCATGTGTGTGTACATGGCCAAAATCCCGAGGGAAGAATGGAGGAGAAGGGATTGTGGCATGGACATCTCCCTCATGAGGTGATTTCCCACTTTCCCAATCTCTCTCTCTGGTGAGCCGCATATACACTATGACAAAAACTTAAAATAAGTTTCCTATTTTTCTTTTTAGAAGTTTTATCCTTAAGGTTTGTGCACTAGCCAGAGAGAGGAAGAGAAAGACAGAGACAGTGAGAAAGTGAGAAATCAGCCCCCAGGGGGGAATGGATACACCGGAATCCCTCCTTTTCCATTCTCTCCCAGGATCTTAGGCATGTACATGTGCCCAGCATGATTTTCAAACCAGCAGGTCCAGGATTTGAACTGTGGTCATCTATGCATGAGTCCAGTGACATAAATACTATGCCATCTGCTGGCCCCAAATCCCTATTTTTGTTTAAATAGATTTCTACTTTAAGATTGGGAAAAAAAAAAGCACAGTATCCATTCTCCAGTATCCCAACAAGGGGTTTTCTAGAATTCCTTAATTGTATCCACATTTTTGCCCAGAAGTTTCTCCCATTATCCAAAAACAGTACAAAGGTTTTTGAAATTTCTGTTTCAATTTGCAACTAACAGGCAAAGTAGGGGTGGAAAAATTATTTTAGTATCTGCTGCACAGAAGTACCTTAAATCCTGGAGCTATAGAGGAGAGTGGTCAATAAAGGTCCAGGTCACATATGGGCAAAGTCTCCTGACTCTGGGGCATGAAGGTAAGAGAAGGAACCTTTTCTTGGATAGTAATTATTGAATGACCTGGTCAGTTACTAGAAAATTTCATTTTTCTGAACTGTCAGCCTCTTGTTACAATGAGAACTGTCAAATCTTGTCACAGTGAGAAGCATCATTTCTTCCTGTATTTTAAGAAAGAGTTTAATAAGCCATGGTCCTTCTTAGAAAAGAGTTGGGGAAGGAGGTATCTTTACATGTCAAATCTAATTTTCTTGAACACTTAAACTTAACTAAATGACTAGTTTACAGTTTCTACTCTGACCAGACAATTGGAAAAAATGTTCTCTTTTCCTCAGAGCATAGGTACATTGGAATTTTTACTAGAATATAGAGGTATTTGAGTAACAAAAAATACTTGAATCTAAATCCTGATAGTAGTAATAGTTTTTGCCTTGAGTCACTAACTTCATTTTTCAGAGCTGCAATTTCCTCCTCTATAAAACTGGGACAGGAATGTGCACTTTATTCAGCTACTAGCAAACTGCCTGAGATAACCTGCAACAGAGTATTTCATAAAGTTCTTAGTACATAGAAAGTGCTGAATAAGTAATCACTGCACTAAAGTTAACAAATTAACAAATACATGATGCAACCATGTAGGCTCTAAATATTAGGGAGACATTCAAATCCCTTAATTTAAAACGAAGGCAATGAGAGTTGGAGCAAAGGATATATTTGAGGTAACATAGGGTCAGAACTAGAATCTAGTTTCCCTGACTCCCAAGACAGTGCTCTTACACCTCTATTACATTGTTTTTTTTCTTTTTAAAGCAAAAGTAATTATTCAATGGTACAACAACTTAACTGTAATACAGATATAGATTTAAAATAATTTTGACTGAAAATAATATAAATACCTATATTATTACACATAACATGAATATGTGTTATCATGAAGCACTCATTTCACTTTTTATCTTAATGTTACAGTTGTAGATTTTCTTATATATTTACTGAATGGATTTCGATTTGGGACAAACCTGTTGGATAAATGTCTCAGATGATAAATCTTGTCAGATACTGCCTTTTCTGTAAGGATAGATGCTTTCCTTAATAAATCATGTCAAACTTCTTCCCTAGAACTACAAATACACATACAAAAGTGTTGAAATGGATTGTGTAAAATGAAGATACAAACCTGTAAGTAACCCATCTCTATCAAATGTCTTTTGGCAAAATAAAATGAGCCATTTTCATATAATTCTCCATCCCAGTCTTGCCGACGAGGCCGTTTAGCTGGATTCAAATTCAAGGGCTCAGTCACTTCGCGAACTAAAACCAAAAAGGTACATTGAGTCCACGTTGCTCTGAATATAAAAGTGTTCACTTACTAACTTTAGAAAAAGCAAATAAAAACAAACTCAGAATTTAGACTAGTTCTGTTTCTAGATAAATAACTAAATGGGGTTTAGTTTAAAAAGAAATACGGTCTAACAATTCCGATGATTTATCTTTGCTTTCCAATAGTTAATAGATATTTCATAAGAGAATTTGAAAAAATTAAGGTTTTAAGCTATTTATACAGTATGCTGCTTTGAGAGGACATCAAGACAATCTTAAAGTAGCTTCAAGAAAATGGACATTAGGGACCAGCAGTTAGCATAATGGCTATGTCGCTGGATTCCTATGTAGTCGACCATGGTTCGAGTCCTGGACCAGGTAGCTTAAACTCAGGCTGGGTGCGTGTGTGTGTGTGTGTGCCCAAGATCCCGAGAGGAGAATGGAGGAGAAAGGATTGAGGCGTGGCCATCCCCCCTGGGGGGTGATTTCTTGCTTTCTGTCTCTCTGTCTCTCTTTCCAGTGAGCGCATGCACCCTATAGCAAAAAACTCTCAAAAAAATAAAAATAAATACATAAATAAATACATAAATAAAAATGGACATTATAAAATACCAATAGCCAATATTTGAGCCCTTTATCATTATTTTATCTATAGAAATATAATGTATGTGTTATCTAATGTGGTTGAAAGTTACAAAAAACCTGAATACTTCCTCATTAAATTATTAAGATTTTTATACTGATGAAAATGTCTATTTAATGTGTTATACATTCTTTCAGTAGTTAGAAGATATACTGAACATAAAATTGCATTGCTTATTACTACTTGATTATGAAGGCTTAGCAATATCAACATTATTATAACATGATGTAATAAATACAGCCTTCAGTATTGGTGCATAGAGATTTTCTTACCTTTTTACAGAATTTTCCCAAAATGTGTATGTGTTTAATGGCTGGTGATTCTTACCATCTTTCCTCACTTTGGCCATCACTTCTATGTATAAAGACTTCTGAGAGTAACCTCTACTTACTTCCCTAACTAAACAATCCTTTGTACACCTCCACATCAGCATTTGATATAATCTGGGAAAACAAATTAAAACTTGGCAAATGTATTTTGGATAGCTGCAGGCAGCATAGTTTTATAGGCACAGTAGTAAGTACACGCTCTGCTCATGGAGCATGAAAACTAGTGGTGAAGACAAGCAATCAACAAACTGTTCAACAGATGATTCAAGTGGTACTTGGAAGGAAAGGAGAGAGAGGACCAAGTCTTTTCTAGGATCAGTGGCTGCCTTCTCCCTGGAGGAGTTTGTTGAGTAGGGGAAGGTACATGACTATTTAAAAATATTTTTAAAAGACTATAGCTATTTAAATATAATAGAACTTTCTTATATATGGAGTTACAATCTGGGGAAGCAATTCTGCAATTTCAGTCTTGAAGTCCTCCTCTGTGGAATACTCCCATATGATTTATATAGAGTTTATCAAACAAGTCTAGAACAAATACAAAAGTATTTGACTTAGAAAGATGACATGTCTACCTCAAAAGACAAATAGAAACAGAGTTTAAATGTCTCTTTCTATAAAGAATTAATTTGTTCTCACTCTCTTTCCTCTAAAAGAAGATTTCAAACTGATTAAAATATCATTACCTACTGCAGTTAAGAATCAAATCAAATATTCTTTTTTGTTTTTAGATTTTTGCCATGGGGTATGTATGTCTGCCAGAGAAAGGGAGAGACAATGAGAGGGAAAGTGAGAAATCACCTCTGCCCCGGGGAGATAGATACACAGCAATCCCTTCTCTTCCATTCTCCTCTTGAGATTTTTTGGCATGCACACATGTGTGCCCAGCGAGTTTTTCAAGACTCCAGGTCTAAGACTCGAACCCTGGAGTTGGCCATGTGGGATCCAGCACCTTAACCACTGTACCACCTACTGGCCCAAATCAAATATTCTTTCGCTGCTCCCTTTTTATTTTTCTAAGAATATTTAGATATTAAAAAAAAATGATCATCAGTAAAGTGAATCTCAGTAAAATGATCTAAAATACTGATAACAAATTACCTCCTTTCTGAATTTCACTCCACCGAAATTGATGGCGTCTCACAACAGAGAAAACAGAATCAAATCCTTCTTCTCGAATCATTTCTGCAACTTTCTGAAGGTCAGTAGGATGTAAACATGGAGAAGTAGCTTGAATATTTCCTACAATGTCAACCTCTTAAGAAAACAAAGAAAAAGGACATCAAAATAAGATTCCTTAGAAGCAAGTAATACTAAGACCCTGAATTCAAGAGTTAAACAAGTCTTACGAGATGATAAGTTAGAAATTACATAAAATTCTGAGTAAACTATTAATTAAACTCATACCATTGTGATAATTAAGAAATTCTATGATGGCATCTAGTGAGGTAGAACTGTCTTTTGAAACTTCAGAACTTCTTCGATGGACCTGTGCACCAAACTGCTTGGCCACGTTTTCAATTTCATCATGGTCTGTTGACACCCACACACTGTTCAGATATTAAAAAAAAAGAAACTAAACAGCCAAATCATCAAAAGAAATCATTAGCAATAAAAAGTGAGACCCTAAAATAAAGCTTACATAATTTAATTTCATACAATAAAAATAATGTTACAGATCCAGTCATAGAATTGTAAAGAATTATATTTTGTACATAAATAGATACAAGTAGTTTTACAAAATTAGGATAAAAGATAACTCATATTTTTAAGATTATTGATATAATGATAGCACCAGAAGACAAATCTAAAATAAAGATTCTTATTCTCTATCCAAATCCAAAATGCTGTATAAACTATTTTAATATACTTGTTAAGAATAGATTTAACTTGGGACCAGCAGTTAGCATAATGGCTATATTGCTGGACTCTCATAATGAAGAAGGGACGTGCGTGCCCAAGATCCTGAGAGGAGAATGGAGAAGGGACGTGTGTGCCCAAGATCCTGAGAGGAGAATGGAGGAGAAGGGACATGTGTGCCCAAGATCCTGAGAGGAGAATGGAGAAGAAGGGATTGCAGCATAGCCATCCCCCCAAGGGGGGGGGGGGTATTTCTTGCTTTCTGTCTCTCTGTTTCTGTCTGTCTTTCTGGCAAGTGCACGGGCCCTGTAGCAAAAACCTCTCCAACAACCACAACAACAGAACAGATTATAGATTTAGCTTGACCAAACCATAAAGCTGAAAGTTTCAAAATCAGAAGACACTAAATTTCCAAGTCTGTGCTCAAGACAATCAGATAATGCTAATCCCCCTCCTTTTTTTGTAACAACAAACAGATACCTAGATAATGGAACAGAAAATGAAGTGGATTATAGCTACTGATTACAGTCATAGAGAACATGACTTGATTGGCATAGGAGATTAATTTAATATTCTGAGTTACATCTTACAAAGTTGCCCATTTAGATGTTCTAACATGATGACTAAGAGGTGTACTAGTCCATAGTGAAGTTTTGTTTCCTGGATCTTCACAAATCCTAACAGTGACATTAATCAAAGATATTTTAATGACTTATAGTTTTGGTATATATGTATGTATGTATATATATATATTTTTTTCCTCTTCTCTTTTATTTTAATCCCTGTCATTGAACAACTATTTAGTTCGGGAAAGAGGAATAGCATGTTTCAGATATGTTTATGTTCAACTATCAAGAATGAAAAAAACGGGGACCAGCAGGTGGCATGGTGGTTAAGGCGCTGGACACTCCCACATGGTGGACCAGAGTTCGAGTCCTGAATCTGGTGGCCTGCTTTCTCACTTCCTCTCTCTCTCACTCTCACCCCCTGTCTCCCTCTGATCAAACTAAAAAATAAAATAAAATAAAATAAAAAAATAAAAAAAAGAATAAATAAAATAAATAATTATTAAAAAAAAAAAAGAATGAAAAAAACATGTGCTAGCAGATGGCATAGCAGTTACGTCGTTGGACTCCCACATAGCCAATGGCTGTTTGAGTCCCAGACCTGGTGGCTTGAAAATCATGCTGGGTGCATGTGTGTGTGTGCCCAAGATCTCGGGAGGAGAATGGAGGAGAAGGGACTGTGGTGTGGCCAACCTCCTTGGGGAATGATTTCTCACTTTCCCTCTCACTGTCTGTCTCTTTGTTTCTCTCTCTCTCTTTCCAGCAAGCACAACTAATAAAAAAATTTCTAACATTTCTGGACCTAACTTATTCATTTTATTTATTTCCTTTAATACTGATAGGAGGAGGATTTAAATCAAGAGAAGTAGTCAATAACACAGTAAGTTTTTCAAAGGAAGCCTGGTAAGCATTATGAGCCATTGGCTAGGAGTCAGGAGTCTCACATCATTTCGCTGTGCAAGGCAGAACATATGCGACCCCATTCCTCTATCTTGAAATCTGAAACTGTTTGGAGACAGATTTTTCACTGGAGAAATGCTGCAAAGGTATATAACAACATAAAGTGCCGATGAAAATCCATTTTTTTAAATAAAGAAGGTGAAGGGAAGATGATAACATGGTAACTGGAATGTAATAAAAATTGATCAGCAAAAACAGGAGACACAGGTCTTCTGACATCTAATACATGTCATTAATTGAAATAATTACAAAAGCCATTTACTTTATTGCCCTGATCTTTACTACAAATAAAATTCATCACTAGATGGTTGAGTTATCTTTCTGAAATGTTTGAAAGTTGAATTGAAAGAAAAAAAAATGAAGCTTTTGGAAAGCTTTGCTTTGTTTTTCTCCCTTCCTTGTCTCCCCTTTTCATTATTCATTTCTTCATACATGAAATATTCACTGCATGCCTATCCTGTTCCAGGCACTACTCTGGAAACCGGGGATATAACACTGTTTACACTGTAGTCCATTCTCTTGAGAAACTCTCAGCCTATGGGTAGAGACTAAGGCCAACACACTACTAAAATTCCTTTTATGCCATCAGGGAA